GTAAAGGGTTAGTCACGGTTGCGTGAGTTGAAATTCCTTAATATACTTTTGTATAGAATTATTAATATTAACCACCCGACTTAAAAGTTTCTTGATTATATTTATTGTCTTGTAGATAAGTATTACTTTGTAAAGCTTTATGAAAGTCGCTTTAAATTTTGAATTGTGTGCCGGGTTTACTTTCATACCAGGTACTGTACATATGTTAGGGTAAATCGGATCAATATATGTCACAGTATATTTTTGTTTCCGCGATCGAGAACGTCAAAAAAAGTACCTGTACTACCGTAAAAAATTACACTAACTTGTCTTATACTACTGCAAGAGAGCGAATCCTCCTCCTGTTTTAAACATATGATTAAAAAAAATAGAATAATATCTCTTATATCGTTGTGTAGTTCGTATCGGCCTCGAGAACTTTAAATAGCATTGATTAAATATAAAATAAAATCATATTATAAAAGTGAATTTCCACTATATATGAAAATCTTGTTGAACAAAATTTATACAAGATTAATGACTACTTTATAAAGAATTAAGATTTCAAAATTTTTAAGCATAATTTTGTAATGTTATTTCGATGAAAATAATACGCAAACTTATTAAAAATGCGATGCACCTGCTGTTCAAGGTAAGTATTGGTACAGCGCGAGCGCTCCTTAGCGTTGGACCTGGGTCGAATTTCTTCGCGCCGTTATGCATGCGTTCGAACATAGTAAAAAAGAATAGTACGCCGAGCGAGCGATAATAGCAGCCCCAGTCAACTTTGTATGGTCAATTTGTGCATTACTTTTCCTAATTAGGGGATTAATTTGCTGGCTGGTATTTCTTTCTAATAAGTATTAAAATTAAAAACTGATAAAAATTACATGCATATTGTCATAGGTGTAAAATTTATCTCCCCTTTTTTATAATTTTGTTGCTTCCCGTATTTTTAAATAAATTAGTCCAATTGGTTTTAGTTTAGATTATTATCTTTGAGTAGTTCAGTGGTGTAGTGGAAAAGGCACCATATGACGGTTATCTAGAAAATATTATAAATATGGGATGTAATTCTTGGGACTTATTGAAACTGCACGTTGCAGTTGTCCACGCCACCGCCAACAGCGACGGCGATAGGACGGCTCTGTAACAGTTTCAGGAGACTGACAAACTAATGCACCGCATACTACTCAAACAAATTAATAAAACACCTGAAGGCCTATTCTATGTATCAAGATTACACTAAGACGACGCATTTGTCGTTAATTTATAATGCAACGGTAGGATCTAACACTGCCTCTGATGCTCAGATAATCAGAAAAATATATAATTACAATTATTAACTACCGTTTCTGGGTTTTCTGTAATAGATAAAACTTGGACGATATATCACGAAGATATGCGTTAAGATAAATATTTTTCTTATTTAAATTATAATAACTTCATTATTATTAATTTTTTATATTTAAATTTATATGATTATATTATCATGTTCACACCAGATGCTGTTGATTTTGATATTCATAAAGAGCATATTGGACTAGTCAAATTTTGAAATTACGAAGCGTGAATGATAAAAAGAAATAAAATTGAATATCAAAGACAAAAAGTTTTTATGCGGAAACCTAGGACGAAATAAGCGGTGATCTGGCACACCGTTACATGGATATGAATTTATCAAAATTATAAGAACGATTCGGAATTTTTCGAATTATCGTATAGTACAAATAGAATAGGCCCTAAGATGTCATATTAATTGGTATGAGTGATAACCGTCAAGCTAAATACCGCAATAAATGGTGAAGTCTGCTATATATCGGACCTTAGTGCTGAGGGACCGACTTAAGGAGCAAATAGATTTGCCTTCTTTTGATGGTTATCATAGCTGTAGTACGAGTCAGGAATACATATTTGACACTAGATGACAAACAAGCGGCACCCTAATTCGGGATATCAGGCGAAAATAGTCTAATAGTGTGTGTAAAAGAGTGTTTAAATTATCTGAAATCAAGTATCTCAAGCAAATCCTCGCCTGCCTAACTACCAAAAAGCAGTCATCATCCATTCATCATCCGTTACGCGAAAGAGAAAGTTTTTTTTTTAAATTTGAATAAAGTCGTTGTGTCACTCATGGAGAGGCGAATTTATTTTCTGAAGTCACTTGCGCTTGCGTCGATGAATAAGTACTTAAACTTTTACTTAACACAATATTGAGGTGGTGCCAATTCGTATTTAATATACCTACACGAGATTAGCGCTTCGATCTGCGATGCGAAGGTTAAGCAACTGGTATAAGCCGGTTTCAGGATGGGTGACCAATAAATTCATTATCTTGATATCCGTACTTCGGAAGACACGTAAAGTTATTAGTCCCGGCGTAGTAAACGTAGTTGGGTCATGAAAGTTACAATAATAGATAGGGCCATCCCATCCATATCGATAAACTAAGCAACTGCCTAGGCCATTAAAATAGGGACCATGTGCGAGTCGTACTTGAGCACGGAACGTTCTGTCCCGGAAACGAGCAAAAAATCACTAATTTAAAATTAAATAAGTATTTGTTTCATTTTAATTTAATTATTTATTTTTAAAGTTATTATATAAATACATATTCTGTAAATACGAGTACCTTAAGCGTATACCTGTCATCTTTATCGAGATAGAGCAAAAACAAGCAAAATTCACGTTTGTTGTATGGGCGCCCCCTTAAATATTTATTTTGTCTGGTTTTTAGTTTTTACGCAACAGATATACATTGTCTGTGAAAATTTCAACTGTCTAACTTTCACGGTTCATGAGATACAGCCAAATACAAATCTTAGCACGGAACCCTGAAAATCATTCACCGAATAGAGAACTTCCTGCTTTTTCGTATTCAGTTGAAAAGCCTGTTCTAATACTGTAAATTAAACATAAAAGACTAAATCACAAGTCAATTCATGTTAACTAAACCAGCTCGAATCAAACCCGTAATAGTTTTGTAGTAGTCTGACCACTCTGACCGCAGACCGTGAGAAATAAAACCGGCAACAAAAAGACAACAAATATCTATTATAACAATTTATATAATAACATCGTAATTCGTTACACCTGTCCCACATTCTTTAAATCGTAATCAAAAAAAGAAATGAAACAAAACGCACACTCTGAGTCACGACGAAAAACGAACAAAACGCACTGTGTTATAATAATTAAAGTGAGCACCACCGAAACTGTGTATACAGTAGTCAATGGACAATGCTTATTTTGTTTCCATAGATATTATCAATGCTTTGATTCTGCCAATACTTTGAAATGTTTATTTGTACTAAATAATGTTAAAAAAGTAGATATAAATGTTACTATAAAAGATAAGAACATGGGCCTTGTGGATACCACAGTATTTTTAGGAATAACATTAGATTCTAAACTACAGTGGGGCCCACATATTGATAAATTGTCGAGTAGACTTAGCTCTGCAGCATATGCCGTAATGAAGATACGTAGGTTACGGACATAGTATGCCAGATTAGTATACTTCAGTTACTTTCATAGTGTAATGTCATACGGAATCCTATTGTGAGGAAATGCTACCGACATTCAAACGATTTTTGTGCTTCACAAAATACCAATTACATCAATTATTAATCTTAGGATTAGTGACTCTTTAAGGGAGAAAAGGAAATAGACATAATGGCTGTTGCTTTTCAATACATATACGAGAATTTAATATATGTAGAAATATTAGTTTGTTTTCTATAAAAAGTGATGTACACAATTTTAATACAAGAAATAAAGTAAAAAATAACGGTGCCTGTCACTAGACTGCAAAAAAATTATATCTCATTATGGGGTCTTTGTGTGCGCTTCTACAAAAAGGTCCCAAGCAAAATAGAACAATTAGATATCATGCAGCTTAAATCTCCTATTAAAAATACTTATCAAAAAGCTTATTATAAGGTATCCCATTATATAATAAATAATAATGCTTGGACTTAAGATGGCAAACTTATAGCCCATCAGACCAGCCAGTTCAGCCGGACATTTGGGTAGAAAGACCGGGCACCCTACATTATTGAGGATTATTATTTGTGTTTTAGTATTCATAGATAAGAAAAAAAAATGTATATAAAATCAAGCTTTTTGCGAAATGTAAAAAAGCTTACTACGAGTAAAGACCGGACAAGCCGGATACGCAATGAAAAGCCTACATATGTCCGGCTTCATCCAGACGCCTATCCGTATCTATAGATAACAATAAAGCTGCAAACGTATACATAAAAAGCCGATTGTTAAGCAACGTGTATGATTTGAGCAAAAATTACTGTTAGAGGTCACATTACCAAGGGTCAATCCCAATCAAATAAATTACTACAACACTAAAGTTACTTTCTAACTTTCAAACTACTACTGACAGCTTTTATATCATTTTCTGTAAGTTATTTTAATTGTTTAAAACATTAAGGAGCAGATCACGTAAGCATTTAAGTTGAGAATGTATACAAATGTTTTTAATTATTTTTTATCAAAGGGCGAAGACTTCAAGACAACGATGTGTATAATTTATATTTATGCCGTAAAACATGATTTCTAATTTGACTAATTACATTACGTTCTAAAGTATAACATTTAATTGATATACTTGTTTTATATAATAGCATGTTACAATATCGATAGCGTCAATATAATCATGTAATTCACGATCTCCAATAAGATAATTTCAATTCATAAATTCATATACAAGTAACTAACAACTTTAACCACTGAAACCGACAGTTGAATGTAGCACGTCTAATATTGTTTACAATCGGACTTGTGACTCAAGTATCAGACACCTGAAACCGAGGCCACGGTGCGCTATAACAAGTTCACGACCTTTGCGATGACCGCACAGGCTTTCACGCAAATGCAACATTATGAAACCTGGACTTTACTTTTACTCCCAGACTGAGAAAGTCCATTCTTAGTTTTGGGTCCGTTTTGAACCGCTACGAGGGGTGCGGAGAGGCAGTATTTAAGGTCACGACAGCTCCGGCGCCGCACAGTTAGTGACGAGTACCCATCGTGAACATGTCGAGATTTGTGGCTGTAATAGCGCTCGCTGCGGCCTGCGCAGCATTGCCGGCGCAAGACACGGGACACACGGAAAACGACGTAGAAGGAATAAGCGATTGCCTCCGCAAGGACTCTACAACATGCCTCAAATACAAGTTTTTCTCGTTCGTAGATAAGATGATTGGACAAAAGGAATCTTTCGCTTTAACCGATGGTGTTACCGTAGTCAAAGCGTCTGATATTCCCGCCGAAACTGGGGCGCCGAGGTCGTTGGATCCTGTGACAAGACTGAAGAATTATTTCGAGACTCATTCGTTGCGTGTGGAAGTTAAAGGTGCGGACGTTATTGATGCAGTTTCAAGTGCAGGACGTGCTTTAGAAGATACAGTTTCTACGTACATAGATGGTACGGAAGAAGGTAGAGGGAAGAAGAAAAAGGCACAGAAGCTCTTGGGTCCGCTTTTTGCAGCGCTGGCGTTGAAACTGATGGCTTTGACCCCATTGGCAATAGGAGCGATAGCTTTAATAGCTGGAAAGGCGTTGTTGATTGGAAAGTTGGCTTTAGTGCTGTCGGCGATCATCGGACTGAAGAAATTGCTGTCGCAGCAGAAACACGTGACATACGAAGTAGTGGCGCATCCTCATCATTCCTCTAGTCATACGTCAAGTCATGACTACAGTGGTGGTGGTACTAGCGGATACGGTGGTGACTCCGGCGGTTACAGCAGCGGTGGAGGCGGACATAGCAGCGGATGGGGCAGATCCATAGAAGCTCAAAGCTTAGCGTATTCAGCGCAGAAACCTCAGTGAGCGTGCCCTAAATATACGGCCTCTTTCCGACGATTTCTCCTCGATCATCGACATTGAATTCTTTACTTCATCAGTGTGTGAGTGTGATGTACGCTTTTATTTATTGTGAATGTTGATTTTTTTCTATTAAAGACTTCTTTCATATGCCATTTTGTGCTCAAATAAAGTCATTATTTATTTTTCTTAAGAGATCTTATAGATCGAAGTGTGTTGCTATTTTTATAGTGTATTTATTCTAGTTCTATGTATATGAAACAATTATGATTGTATTAGTATTTTACCTAGATTAGAGAAATATTATTTCTCGAATGTTAAACTGTACCTGGCTTTAATTTTATTGTAAGTTGTATTTAAGATACGTATATGTTTTGTATATATTAAAAGTATTGTTTAATTTTTATTTTACGTGTCATCCTTGCCCTTAAGTTTTTATTTATAATATTTATTTTTATATTGACGATATTATTTATTACTTGTTATACTATAAATGTTATTTATATGTACAAAGACAAAGACATTTAATTGTGTATTAAAGGATTAAATCATGTTGTTTTCTTTTATTTTCCGTACAAATACAAATTAAAAGGGTCAATTTTATATTGCATCATTATGATCATAGATAACTATCACAATAATGACGAATCTATCGAATTCTCTCAATATTATTACTTATATATTGAAGTATCAACTAAGTATATATTAATTGACTCCGTAATCTTATGTCTTTATTGTAGCATTGAAAATTTCTAATCATATAATTATAATTATATGGATTATATGAATCTATATAATTAACAGTTAAATCGTCTCTTTATCTCATAGCATCAGAGTAAAAGTGACAAGTGAAAAGCGGATATTGATCAGTAGGTCAGTACTATTAAATAAGTATGTACAATGTATAAGTAATAGTATATATTATACTAGTTTTCTCAGGCTAGTCGGGCTAGGAAAATAATTGAGGCACTGGTTTCGGACGCATCAATGGAAAATGTTGAGTTTCTACAAATGTCCCTGAGGCAAAAACTGGTGCGAGGCTTTTCCATCCAAGTATGCATCGGTTTTCTTTAAGATCCTGTTTGTTTATAAGCGGTTGGGTTTAAGTGGATATGGTTTTTTGTTTTTTCCAGTGATACATCTTTTTGTTTTTAAATGTTATGTTATATATTTAATAAAATAATCAAAATTAATGATTCGAAAACGTTATTTAAGTGATATGAAAAATATTGTATTCCTATAACTATTAGACATGTTGTATTACAATTGGTTCACATAAATAATTTTATTAATATTTACATTTATTAATTATAATTTTCAATGCTTTATACATTACAATTAATTTAATTACTTATCTCAATAACATTGAATTGGTACAACATTATAAATACTATGTATATATATTTAAATAAATATAATAATGTTATTTAATTATTTTATATTACGTTTCTCTAAGTAGAGTGCAGATGACATCTATGTTGTTATTTAGTAATAAAATAATAATCCAATGTAATAACATCCAATAAAAAATATTTTTTTATCACTGGATTATTAATCTAGTGATAAAAAATAAAAATAATAATCTATCATACTCAGAAAAGCTCAGCGGAGCTGTAAAGAGATAGATAGTACAGCTTTTACGTTCCTATCCTTCGATTCAAATACATCCCGCTTATGCTCCTCGCTTAGGTCTATTTTGCAGCTTTCCTTGTATCCAGGTCGTAGGCTGCCCTCTAACATTGGAGAAAGGTAAGGTGAAATTGCATTTGTCACGAATCAAACATTATATTAAAAGTAAAATTTCCTGTTATGCCATCTGGAATTTCGTCCCCTACCCTAATAAAAAAATATTTACTGTTACATCCAAATATACATTTTTTGTATTAACAATAAATATATCAACATACATCACGATATATTAATAGAAACAATATATTTACATCTTAAAAATATAATTCATAGTAATTATTAATTAAAAAAGAAAAATAAAAAATCTCTTTGTGTATAAAATGAAGGTCATTGCGCTTGAACACTCCACAAAAAACAACGCTTTGATTGTTACCAAAAATTAAACTAGTACGAGGTAATTTCTAATGGACATTTAAAATGCGGAAAATATGCTGGACAAGATAATGTGAAAGAAAACAGTAGAATGTAGAAACCAGGAAGGTCTTTTAAGGTCAGATTGATCGCGTTATAGGAGTATGGTTTCAGAAGTCCCAAAAATAGGAGGCCATTTAAAACTTGGAAAAAGAATAAATGTTTACGAAGGACAAAAGGTATGTAGGGGAAATCCGGTGACTTAATCAAGTAGGAAACGTGCTCCAGAACATATAATCTGACTTTCTGCTTTGCTGTCAGGTTGTTAGATTTTAAATTCTTCTCAGACATTATTTAAGAAAACAAAACAGAGCACACAACAATCTTATAGCAATCCCAACCAAGTGAATTTAAAACGGGTTTATGTATTAGGATCACGTCTTCTACCTTATAGAGTTTCCCGGATTTTCTCTATGTAAAGATGCTTAATATTTTTAAATGAAAATTAGTTGACGCATATTTTGGCAACCTCGAATCTAAAAATTTTTCCAGAACCTGAGTTAACTAAGAAATAAATTTATTTCCATTTCATCTTTCACTATCCACTGCAGCATCACTACCTGATTTTGACAGCCCCTAAATGACTTCAATAAAAACTACAAGTACCTAATAAAGCCCTTTTATTTACTTTATTGTCAACTGCATATTTCTTAATGACATGTTTGCTTAAGGTGGCAAATATCTCGATCTGTTAAATAATATATATATTAATATATATCGTTTCGTTTAACGGTAAACTGGTTTCCATTCATCACAATTGACATCGGCGCAGGTTATGTTCTATAAAATAATGGCATGATAGTCGATTCATGCTTGTAAACGGGTGGAGATACAAGTATCTAAAAAAAACTTCAAGAATTTTATTCAATATAAAGATTTTGGACCATGTTGCGATACTTATGACTTTATACACTATTTTAAAATTATCATAATGTAAATCTAAATTTGAATGTTTCGCACAATAGACTCTCACACTTTCACATGAAATTAATTTAGGTATTCCTAATTACTCACACAGACCGTGCAATGCTTTAATACCTTACAATGTTTCAAGCTGCTCTCAGCGACTTGTTGACAATTCGAAGAACGCTTACTAATTATATATTTTTATTATATAAATATATATTTTTTTGTATTTTCGGTCACCTTTGCCACAGATCACTTATTTATCGTTTGCTATTATTATTTTTGGAGTTATAAGCGCTATAGTACCATTTTTATACTACTACTACTATTACTAGTTTTGAATTGCGAATTAATTTAAAACTAGTATTTTGTTTCATATCCAAGAACACGGGTTAAATATATTGTAAACATAATAATATTGTTTATTGCACGATATAAATAAATAAAGATAAAGTTAGCATTCAACTAAACAACGAAACAATCAAAGGCGCCAGTTTTAATGGCTTCAGATAACAAATTTCACAGGTGTACAGAGTGCATGGAAAATGAGTAGGAAAAGAAGTCGATAATGTGACGGGAATATTGAGGGTTAAATTTGAAGAAGAGCGTAGAGAACACTGTGAAGAGAAGGCTGGAAAAGTTAAAGTTTTTAGAGAATGATGAGATAAAGGTAGGTTCTCTATATCGCATAAACTACGCACAAAACTCAACTCAATTATATTGCAATCACAGAGAACTTATAATAAGACAAAAAATAATTATTTAATAATTACACACACATACACATACATACACATGATTTGTGTATTTTGATTTAATAAAACATCTATTATATTTCTAATTAAGAGTTAGTGACGGAATAAGTGGAGCAAAAAGCAAATTTTTGTGGTCACCCATCCGATGATAGACCATTACGGGAATCAGTAGATATTCATGGTCATTAACTTATTTAAAGGGCCATATTAAAGGGCTAATTAGAATAATTGAGGAGCTAACAATAGGTATTTTATATAGGTATTTCATGTAAGTATAACCGCAGATGATATAACATTCATTTTTCTAGCCCTGAGTTACTAATAAAGAATAGAAATTCGTCTAGAAAATGTACAATACCATTACAGGTCATGAGTACCATTTCTCATTCATTTCTAATTCTAATTATTATTATTAACAATTAAAATTGAGTTCCTAGTTATACATAACTACATAACACTGGGAACAAAATAGTGTAGGTACCTACTCAGACGAAGTCACGGTTTAGAACTACTTGTTTAAAATAAATTACATGCAGGCTACTAGAACGTAATGGTATAATGTAATCTTTGAACGTAATAGAGAAAACAAAGAAAAGAATAAAAAAAGTTTTAGTTCCAAAAAGTATTACACGAATGATGAACAACACTACAAACGCCGTATCAATGTTCTAAAAATAAAACAACAAAACATAGTCACGCCATCTCGACGCCGCATACCGAAATAAAAGAAAAACATCGGCCCATTCATGCGAGCGTCATGCGCTTACTATGGTAGTAACCTTGACATCTGAAATGAGGGCGCTAGTGTCGAGTTACGCAAGTTGAAGGTTTTCTTATGTTAGTTAGAAGTATTGTATTTTTTCTTATTGTAATCGACAGCAAGCACGGCTGGCTGTTTAATTAAAGACTTAGCAAAGAAAAATATATATTTAAGAAGAATACATAAAACAATAAATAATAAGTGAAAAAGTCATATGACATTCAAATTAACAATATTAAAAAAAAAACTTATCCAAAAAGGAGCTGATAAATCTATCGTCAACACTTTTTTAAGAATATGCACGATTCCGTTCGCTGGTTCTTATTAACATTTATATAGAACATTCACTCATTTATTTGGATAATTTTTCAATAATAATATTTATTTTAAGTCATCATTGAGTGGTAATTGAAAGAGGTGTAAATAATTATATTAATTAATTCTCCTTAATCATTTAGAAAGTTAGAGCTATTTAAAATTTAAACATATAATCCGAAATAAAATATATATTCAATATTATGAGAAAAAATTTCAAAATAATAAGCAAATGTATCACAAACGTTAAATGCTTTATACGATGTAAAAAGTTCAACGACTCTACAACTAGGAAAACGCTACGAAATTACCTTGAACTTTATAATTTTTTCCGTAAACAAACTTGGCCATGGTATTAGTTCCAACTGTTCTTAATAGATGGCTTTAGATCGCAAGGTCACGATTGAGGCTCTTCCCAACGACGAAAGTTCACTTTCTTGAAAATAAAAAAGTTGACCGAGTGATACTACTTAACATATATAGATGTCGCTTTTTCCAAAATTATAACCAAAAAATGGATTATTTTGTAGGCGATAGAAAATTATTGACAACAATATGATTCGTAATTTACTTAACTCAAATAATATGATACGAATGAATGTGTCTTTTCATAAAAAAAAAGTTTTTTGGTATTTTTAAACCGGAACTGTCTTTCTGTGATTTTTTTTTAATAAGGTCCCTTTTTACAATCATGATGTCGATAAACTAGGCTCGCTCTTTTTTCGTCATCGATGTCAGCCTATAAATAATATCCATATCGTTGAAAGATTTTCCTATAGACAGAATTTTTGGTATACAGAAAGAAGGGACCATTACTCGATATATATCCCTACCCATCCGAAGATTACCTTTTATGATAGTCGCTTAACATACACCACCACAGATTATATCTATTTCCTATAGTTCTTATAAGAAAATGTTGAAATATTCATAATTTTGCTATCAACAAACGTTTTCCAACTATTTACACGTTGGTTAAACGTACTGGTTTCGAGGCGTTAGGTCATGAAACTTTCAAATATTCCTGGTTTTCTAAACATTAAGAGTTGCTCACTAGTAAATGTTGCATGCTCATAGACATGTATTAAACCAAACCTGCCGCGTTGGGTTTCTGAGTCAAACAATCTCTGAAACTAGTATATTGATCGTCTAGCACTTTTGGATTGGATAATGGAGGGAATAATTTTCTCTAATGCTCAAATGTTTATTGTACACCATAATGTTAAATAGATGTCACGACATAATAATATCAGAATAGAACTATGGATCCTGTCGGGCACAGCAACACTAGAGAGAGGAGGATTTCATAATTCTACAACATCACAGAAAAAATAAAATGATAAGTTTCAAAATTATTATTAACAGTTCGATAATTTAATTAAATTTTACATGTAATTAAAATAAGCTAATTTTATAAATTTTATATTATTTTCCTATAATATGATTTGTATAAAATTTATAGACTGATTTCTATTTAATTTAATATTGTTGTTAAAATATAATTTGTTTCTTTGCGGCGAGTGCATTTTTAGGCGGGAACTTGATAAGTTCTGTTTTTGTGTTTAATATCATATTTGGAATATATTCTACGTGTATTATAAAATTCAGGATAATTGCAAATAAATTTTCAGATTTCATATATTTGCATGGTAAGATTTTTTTTTTTTTTTTGGAATAGGACCTACAAGAATTAGAGTCATCAATGATTGCTATGATTCAAATTTTTTTTTGTAAAATAAGAGCATAGGAGAATCGCGATAACTTATCACGTAATTTTTTAAAAATTATAAAAATAAATAATTAATAATAAGTAATTTTTTAATTTTGTAAATTGTTAATCCGAGCAAGGTAAGCTCATCTACAACCTCTATTTGTAAATTCTCTCAACTAAAATGTATGCTTATTAGCGTTTTTTGATGGGATTAAAAACATATTAATTTAGTTTTTGTGATGCTTGTATCAAGGTTGTGTAAATTCAACCAATTAAATGTTTTCATAAGTGTAGAAGTTAATATTTCATTTAGATTTTGGTTATTATCACTCGCCACTAGTTATGAGATATCATTAGTAACCAAGACACACAGGTCCAGCAAACAAGGCTGGTTGTTGAATAGTTGTTTAGTCGTCGAAAAAAAAAACAAAATGTAGGAAATTTTAACTGTATTAATTTCAGAGAATATAAAAAGATTTATTTTACTTTTATAAGTTAATCAATTTTGTTTTATTTAGTGAACATGGGATTTGAATTTGGAACAACTATGAGCAATTATTGTGGACAACCTAACAGGTTAGAATTAAAAAAAAAAACAAAAGTATTTTTACAGTATATTAATTCATCAATGACTGGCAATGTTATATCGCACTTTAAAATATACCAAAATATAAAGTTTAAGAGTTTTATGCAATTTGAGGTATAAAATAGAACATATAATTAATTTTTATTATAATTTATATGCATTTATTATATTATATTCGCAATTCAGTAAAGATTGTTTCACATCTGATGACGTTTTTAGGTGTGTAAGGTTGACTGTTTAATTATTGTATTTGTATGTTGTAATGTAAGGGATTTTTGTTTATATTATGCATTAGACGACTGATAATAGAGTTAGTATATATCTGGCGGATTATATTTTTATTGAGTACTTGAATGTTTTCGTCTTTCTATTCACTAAGAAATTCCAATTTTTTGTATATTGCCTTTAAATGTGATCTCCATAAATTTTTTAGAGGATACAATTCTAATATTAGCAACATAAAACATAAAACTTTTAATCATATCTTATAGTCGTGCATATAAATTTTAGAGAAAGGTATTGGCCCTTACTAGAATCAGTATAAAACCGGGTAACCCAGTGCGAGGTAGCCGGTTGCGCCTAAGCGAAAATCGATTTAAATGTCGAATACAGCTTGTTCCTAATACATAACTAGGTGACGAAAGAATTTCTTTAGCATTTGATTTAACGGGACAAGTATAAAATGCCGATGAGTATACGTAGACAGAATTTGCACACCTTAAATGAGGAGGCTATGGGCTTTCATGTTGACCTAGTAACGAAAGGAGTTCTGTCATCCCCCTAAAACCATAAGAGCAAAACGCTGGTTGATAGTTCTTCAATAATTAATAACACAATCATTTTTAACAGTATTAATATATTCAGTGTTACTTATCAATTGTCTGGAAAGAAAACAAATCAATTCGTTTATGATGTATTAATTAAAATGTTCGATTCTTCGCCATCTAATCTGTTAAATTCTTGTTTCTTATAGGGGGCCATTAATCTGATGTTTTTTTCCACATTCTTTGACCCTCCTCCCCCTAGGTGATACATGGTGAGGTTTAAGAGTATCCCCTCCCTGCTTCAACCAAATCACATGTATTAAAAAAAAAGAAATCTTTATTTTTGACGTCGCTTTTCGGTTTAATAATTGCGCGCCGAAAAAAATTATTAATTATATATATTATTACACCCTCCCACCCCCCTTGTGATATTTCGCGAATTTTGACGAATCCTCCCCCCCTTTCGAGCCTCACGTGATTAATGGACGGCCCCTAAACAATTTCTAATTCATACTGATTTTTAACAATTAATAGCTATAATATTACAGATTTTTATCTGGATCATTTCATTTTACAATTTAATTGACTACCTGCGCCGATTGGTTCGCGCGCCGGTTTGAAGGTATCTTCATCTCTTTAATCCGAATTCGATTCCTGATCGGTTATGATATAACTATTAATCATTAAATATAATACTCAAAACATCAACAAAAGCGTCATAATACACTTTATAACAACCTGTTCCAATGTCATTATTTTCTTTGGTCTGACTCGATGACGTTGTTATTGCTTTGCATGTGCAAGTGCAAAGTCGTGTTAGAAAAGGAAAGCCGATCTTTATTGGCCATTGTTGTGCTTTACTTTCCGTTATTGTTGCTCCAATGAACTTTGTAAGATGTTATTAGATAGTTTTTATTCATGTCGATACTAAGAACGACATAGAAAAATACCTACTTGAAAAATTCACTAGTCCCAGTACTTAAAAGGCGGGAATGGAATAAGGGCATCTTGACATTACAAATATGATGCGAGCTTCTCGAACAAGCTTTATATATCTATTTATTATTGAAACATAATAAACAAAATTGGGTTTTACAATTTTCAAACAATCTATAATTCATGAGGAACAAGGGAATTGTTCTAAAGTTAAATGAAGATAAATTAAACATAATAAATATCTTACGTCTGATGAAAGAAATAAAAGGTATGAACTTTGTTATTGAACGATGTAACTCTATAGGGTTTGGGCTCGTTTAATTGAAATTACATATTCAAAAATAATTTCCAAAAACCCACTTATTATATTTGCGAAACTCGAAACATGTATAAAATATATTTTAGTATTATTTGAACGAAAATAGGAAATAAAGTACACATTTTAATAGCAATAGATTACAAAAGTGAAGAAAAAACATTCACGTAGTGTCAACTTTCTAGATAAAATGAGATGGAAAGATCATCAAAACAATATCTTTACTGAGGCATGATTTCAGATCGATACATGTGTATAAATTCCGTAATAATGTGCCTCAGATATATCTATTTCTTGGTGTGTATACGTAGGAAGAGTAATGCATTTCGAATACCCTGCCTACTCAGCTCTCTTATCATCGACAAACTCGAGAGACTCGAGAAGCTCAAGAAACTGGTTATGAAACTATTATTGACGAAATATAGATTTACATATCTTAAATGTTTATAGTAAATTGCGACGTCGTACAAAAAGTCTAGTTTTTAGATGATTGTAACATATTATCAAAAGCATGATTGTTCTTCTGAAAATACAAGTTTTAAACGAAACAAAGTATTTAACAATCAATAAACCTATTCATTAATTTAAAATTTCTGTAATCGTCAGTTTTAGACCACATGGATAGTGCCCTTTCAAACTTTCTCTCAAAGTAATGATATATACAGTACTACACTGTATTATGCACATGTAGATATGTAAGTTTCGTGTGAAAATTTATAGAAACTATTCTTTCATATTAACAATTTCTCCATTGTAAGGTTTCTCGTATTTGTGTAAGTACACATTAAATAATTATTACTAGAAAGTATGGAAATATTTGTCATCATAATAGCAAAAAGGCACAAAATGAAACAACAAAAATAAGAATGACTACTGTATTTTGTATTTTAATGAGGGTGGTTTGTTATATTTTATAATTCATAACTCACTAGGAAAAAAATATTATCAGATAAATTAGTAGTTCTAAGAAGACAAGTCAAAGGACTTTTACACTCAAGAAATGCATCACCTAACACATATTTAATATTTATTATATTATAAGATGAATGATATAACAATATTATAATAAAAATATATAAATATATGTATGTATATATAATAAAAATTGAAGATGTCAAAAATAATATTTTACGTAAATAATTTCATATGAAGCATATTTACAAAAGATATTTCATATAATATACAATGTTAATATATACATTTAAATATGGGAAATGAGAACTATCAACATTATAAACGTATATAAAAATACAAAATAAATACGACTAGAAGAATATGAACACATAAATAATGATGACTTAACAAAAATATAGAAAGAAATTAAAGCTCTCAACAACTTAATCAAGTTACTTTTGTACTTGATACATAATAAACTCCTAACACAAAAACAGGTACATGATAACAAACAAAAATTAACTATAAAAATATAAAATAAAATATATATAAAAAAGGTGGCGATGCTTTGGAAACAATAGTTGAGACAAGATGCACTCGTTCATTTAAATAACAAACATTCACTTTTTAAATAATTTTCAATAAATTATTAAATAATAAATTACAATCGTGATCTGAGGTCCGTACGAAACTTACCAGAGATATTACGTCAACTATGAAAACCCTGCGCAAGGAGATTCATAGTTTTCTAAAACTATCTTAGGTATCAATTTGAGTAAGCGCTGTAGGCCAAGTTATGCGCGTCCTGTGATGATCTTCCCCAACCACCGTGGCCACCTCCATGACTTACATGCTCCTCATGATGAGGATGAGCTACTACTTCGTAGCTTTCGTGATGATCGTGTTTGGACAGAAGTTTCTTCAGAAGTAGGAGAGCAGATGCAAGAAGAGCGGCCTTTGCGAGCATCAGACCCTTGACAGCGGCGAAGGCGATAACTCCGAGGAAGAGAGGAATTAAAGATTGAACCTTCAGTTGGAGAAGAGCGAGGATAGGCAGGAGCTGCTTCAGCTTCTTCTTCTTGCCACGGCCTATAATAAACAAAAGGTACGCTCAGACAATTGTACTTGTTATTCTTAATAAAAAATGCTTAAAAATCCACCCAGTCCCTGGCACCTTGAGATGGGAATCGAACCCACGAACTTTCGCAATAATTTTCAGTATGGCATTGTGAATGCAAAATTAATCAAAATATAATTGTACTTGTGTACAATGTTTCCCACAATAAGCAAAAACCAATAAAATTGTAAACAAGTTCCTAGAGCTTGAGAACGTATGCTAATAATGACGGCAATCTAATTACACGTTCAATGTAATTAGAACATTCAGGTTGTAATAAAAACGAAATCGAATAAATGGTATCAGTAAGCTACAAGAGTAGACCAAGTCCTAATTTGAATTCCAAGCGACCGCGATGTCTGTATATCGAAGCTGAAATTTAAAACAGTATCACTTTCATTGAAATTCACAATGTTACGTTTTGTTTGCATAACAACCTCATCCATCTAGAAAGTGCATCGGTTACCGGACGTAATTCGAAAGCTCCGGACCCACTTCCATATTTTGTTAACGAGATTCCGCCTGGAGCGGACTTTTACTCGATTCTCGATCAAGATTTCGATCACGGTGGCTCGACTTAACGGAACTGCAAACTAGTTACGTATAGTCCAACATACTTACAAGTGTAAGGTACATACAATGGAAATCTAGCAAAAACTAGACTTAGAGACCGTCCGCTTTCCACTATAATCAACCTTGTTAATAGGTTAGAGAAACTCCTGTTAAACCTGTTTGGCTTTTACAATTTCTAGAGTCGTCTCTTTATGGATGTATATGTCATTGACTGGAAGGATATCCGTTTTTGTTAATGGCATTTTCTCATCCTAGAAAAGCTATCGTGATTTCGCGGATGTCGAGTCCGATGTAATTTCTTTAAGTATCTACGAAATTATGTTTCGAGTTTGTAATGATAACTTTCTATTTTTAGTACTTATCTCATGTACCTGTAGGACCGGTTGCGTGTAAGATTTTTTGAATTTGTGTTTTGGCGGACGTTATGACCGGTAATTATATGAGCATGACTCGTATTTTATATAACACCATCTTTTTACTTTTTATGCGAACTCACGTAAGTCACAGCTCTCACATTTTATTGTGATCACACATAAATTATAAGTAGAAGTTAATTTCACCGAAATAAGGTCTCCTTAGCGGTCATTAAGAAAATAATTCATTCTAAACACTGAACATATCCAAATGGAGTCAAAAACGTATGCGCATAGCGTTTAAAGTGGCATAAAAAATGATGCGTGCGATTCAAAAACCAGTTATATGAAATAAGAAAGACTGTTAATGTCCCTTATATAATAGCTGATGCAATAGTGCGGCACGACTGACCGCGTGGTCAAAATTGAACATAGTGGATGGTACAATTTCAAGTTCACAGAATCTTATAGATATAATCAAAGGTTTTGTTTTCTATGATCTATAAACGTTTTGGGATCGTTTGTCTTATTTTCAATTACTTTGACGTATAAATATTATCTTGGTTATCTTTGATCATGAACCTATTGTGCAGGCTTTGATTAAACGTATTGTTTTCGGTGAATAGACTTCTTATAATTAATTTGTGACTCTTGCTAAAGATTGAACCAAGTATGATTATCTATACGAGTTCACTTTCTCTTTTTGTAATTTGCCACTTATGAAAATTGTTGCAGACGCAAAAAACGTGTTTATGTTCAACGTCTCAAACAGTGGACAGACATAATAACACATTAAACGGCTGTTATAAATAGTTTAAGCATTTTAATATCAAAAATGTTGTAGTAACTTTGACAATAAAGATAAATTTGTTGCTTTGATATTAATAAAAAATAGGTTTTGATATTTTAAACGTATTTTGATATCCTAATGTAACAAGATTACTTATTGATAAAATATTTCTTGACATTGATATAGAAAGATCCAGTTAGCACTACATGACTATGCATATTTTTATACGTACCAAAGATAGCGTGCACTCAAGCGTATGAAACTGTTACATTCATTGCATTACATAATAGTGTTCATGAACATGACACGTACATTGAGGTTAGACTTCCAAAAAGAGAAAAAGATGAATAAGTTTATAGTTTTGACATTAAGCACATCATTTGTTTATTTAGTGAAAAAATACACGATTGTAATAGAGGACTTGAGGAGAACTTGAGGTCCCATAAGGACATTTTGATGAGGATAAAAAGTATTTCTGGATTTAATTGCGTTAGCCAATGAAACGTAACTAAGGGTAAATAACTTTTACATTAATCAAATACGTAATAATGGAAGAAATAGAATCACTAATCATCAATACTTTTGGACATCTATCGGTTTTTGTTAACTTTTCTCAACACAATTTTTGACTACTGCAAATAATGAAATAACAATTTGATATCTTACCTTCTTCAAGAGACCGCTTCACATCGTCGACGGTGTTCTTTGGTACACGTAACTGGATAACGTGGTTCTCTAAGAATTCCGCAGCAGCATCCAGTAGTCTAGATTCAACTTGGTTCTCTCTGGCTTTAGGTTCATCGGGAAGCGGTTCGAAGGACCTAGCAGAGCGAGGTGAGCCGGTTCCGATAAGGCTGATACCGTCAGTGAGGCTCACTTCTCGTGCTGAGTTAATATTTTCGACATATTTCAATGCCCTTTCCTGTGATAAATTAAATACATAGTTAATAAATTATGTTATATTTAATATATTGAATAAAGACGAATAATTACACTATATTTCAAACTCAGTTTGTCTTACTAAAAGCTCAAATTCATGTAAATAAATTAATATTTGCCGACAAACGCTGTCGCTTAGATGAATCACTTTGACCGATAACCTTTAGCGTTGATCGGTGAACTCCTCTTTGGTTCTTTAAAATTATATAACGTTTTCCGGACTCCTAATAATAAAATCTAAAATTAATCCCGATTTTTCTAGTTTATCACTAATTAAAGTACTTATTTGAGATAACCTATTTCAAAAATATTTTGATCTTCGATCACTAAACACTGTCACAACACACCTTTAGACACAATGAGATATCTTCTTCGGAACAGCCCTTCACGACCCCGATGACTGAGCCAACAACGTCATCGTCGCTCCCAGCCGGCTTGCAAGTCGCAATAGCGACACTCGCTAATAATAGAAGGAAGCTCTTCATTTTGGCGTATCCTTTGACGCTCCTTCGGTGGTGTTAAGTGAAATGTAATGCAACACTAGCAGCATTGCGGTTTTATTCCGCGTACCCCCACTGCCTCGGAGTTCCCGCCAAATTGTGCGTAAGCGCATGCGGTGTACGTACGCCATGCGTTTTGAGTTTCATAGAGGCGGCCGATTTCGTATCAAATGGTTTTTGCATAATTGGGCTTTCGAATTAAATACATTTGTTTGATTGTTGTATTCATGAAGAAGCACAGGTATATGAAAATAAATAAAATAATATTTAATTAAAACTAAAACATAATTTAAGCCTAGTTTGGTATGCCGATTAAGACTAGTAGTCTTAAAGTATTAAATAAACAAAAATATTGCAAATTTTATGTTTCATTAGATTATTTTTTTCTCTTTGGAAATAATTGACATTTATTGAAGGAAATAATATTAATTCAAGCTAGCAAATTAGGTCTTATAGAACGACCTAGTTTAAATTGTGTAGTCAAGCATTATAATTGTTAGGTCAAATTAAAAAAAAATATCAATGCTATTAAAAACACAAAAGTATCTATTAAATCTAAACTTTCATCTATTTAAGCCCATCAAATTGTAGCCATAAGTGCACATACTATATCTATCCCATTATTGGTTCAGACAATTTTCAATGATCGCTCTAGAAATGCAAATTTTCTACGCAAATTAATATTTATACATGATTTCTAAAATTATATAACCATTAACAAAATCAGGTGCACTTAACAAAAATATTTAATTCACATTTTTCGTAATGGTGTGTTTGCAATTTGTATTCCGCCTCGTCAAATCTATTCACTTGTTAATATTCTGTCAAATCATATTCACGTAACGTAACTTTTCACTTGCTGAGTTATGTCTTTTAATTATATTAATTGAATCATCGTAGAAAGTTATATTTTATTCGTTCATATCGATCCGCTACGATTATGCGTGAATTGAACAATTGATCTTATGGTGGAATATCACGAGCTGATTATTTTTAGCCACTAATAATAATTTGTTATTTACAAAGAATGTTAGCGGTTCAAATTTGAAAATGTACCTAGGTTTTGACAACGTCCTAATTGTTTAATTATAATATTTTTTATAGTATCACATTGATGTTACTATTTCCAACTTCATTGTGCCTACAAATTATTTTATTTTTATTTTTAACAAATATTCAGATAATAATACGGGTAAGATAATTACAATGAGTCTCATGTTAAATATTAATTATTGGTGAATTTCGTTTACATGACCGATTTAAATCTAGTTACCTGGAAAAAACTTCACTTTGAAGTAGCGCTATATTTTTGCATTTAAGATTTACCACCAGGTAAACAAACTTAGAAATTCCGATTACTCTCACTCTTTTTCCTCTTTTTCCTCTAACCTGTCTTTACTCTTTAAAATACTAATGAATTCTATAACATATAATATTTTTTTATTCTCTGCCTGATCAGCATACAAAACAAACTTTCCTATGTTCTTTCATGTTACTAGTATGCTTTTTTTCGGATTTCCATTACACAGGAGCAGAAGAATCTCAACTGAGAAATATATATGATTAGGCATCATAAAATGTTTAATAAATTACATACATTTTTAAGATAAAACAATGAATTTTCACTCTGCAAAATTTATCTTATATGAGATCCAGTAGTTAAACCACACAAAACGGGCGCACTCGACATTCTAGGTCGTGCAAGATAGAAACACACTATTATTTCTACACCACTTGTATCTTGAATGCTCGACTTCTATTAATATAAAAGTTTTTGTTGTTTTCTTTCGTTTTATGATACAAGTCAGGTAACTTATTTTACTTTTGAATTTAAATAGCATTTATGTTAATAATATAGATATATATATATTCTCGATTTAGAATAAAAATCCAAATCTTAAAACACCTACATCTAATATTCTGTAGAAAACATAGTTTTCTACATTAACGCAAATCTGGATTGGAGATGGGGACAACAAGTAACACGTATATGAGTTAGTTGACCACAAAGGTCGTAACTTTCGTTTGCAATTTTCATAGGCAAAAGTAAGTTGCTAATTTACTATACAATTATCAGACAACAATTACATTTTACATGTACGAGAGTGTTTACATTGTCAAAACATTTAAAGCTTTAACTCCTTAATTAGAATGTATAATATCCTTTGAATAGTGTAGAAAAGGGTTGCGAGCAGTTTTACATCCGGTCAAAGCGGAGATGGTTTTCAGAAATTCAAACGAAACTAAATGTTTTGTAAAGGAATTAAAACTTTTAATGATTTGACAGTGAAGCTACTGGCCAATGTGTTGCTACTTCGATGTAGATACTAATCATGGAAAATTCATAAATAATAGGCAAACTAAGCATTTATTCTCGTATTTTCATCGCATTTATTGTCAAGTGTCGTCTATGATCAACCTCTCCAAATTTCAAGGTTTTTGATCTATAAATTTTACCAATAATAATATCTAAAATCAAACTTATACAAAATGCAATTCTTAAAATGTGACCTAGTTCTTTGAGGTCAAGTTTTCTCTATAAAAATCTACCTGATTTCTTCAGATAATATTTATTGAAAATAATCAAATTATACCTAAATGGGTATGCAGGAAAATAAAGATAGAGAATAAATACTGAATAGACTAGCTAACAATTTATTTAAAAAATTGAAAAGAAAAAAAAACATGAATTAAATGTTGCTCCGACCCCAAATAAAATCAAGCTCTGGTAGGCGAACGATCTTTTCTTCGTCAAAGAAACATTCAAATAATAAGATCATAGAAACATAAAAGTAAACAATTTATGCAAAAATTTTAATTATTTTTAAGACTCATAACGAGGAATTTCTTTTATGTATATTAGGTTTTTAAATTGTGAAACTATTTTAACAAACTTATATAATATAGCTTTCATGTTTTATTAAATTGTGTCATGACAAATTCAACGTAATAAAACTCAATTTACAGTCGATTGATTATTCCGAGATTTCAGATTGCCATAATTTATGTTTTGCCTATTTTTTTAATAAATTCAGAGCTATTTATTGTAACATATGAAACATAATATTCTCATACATAGGTAGCCGTTTTATTTTTTTATATCACACAATAAAGTTACTCGTAGTGTCCAAAATATATTCTTTTACCCACGGAAAGCTACGTTTTATGCGAGTGACATAGACTATAATTAACACGAGCGAATTCGTGAGAAAACAGATAGTCTTACATAAAATTAAAAAATACACCACCTCATACGTCTACATTAGAATTTTTCTTTTCAGTTATAACTCAATCAGCAGTGTAACCGGACCTTATTGCCGTTACACAAATTATAACATCCCTGCTGTACCTGAAAGTTAATAATTGAATGTTGTCTATATACCTAAACTTTGAATATTAAATAACCCTGAAAATGTTTAAAAAATATATAAAAAACTAAGCCGTACGATTCTTTTGTAAACATACCCTGTAGATACTATATTTGAAAAGCACATAAATTTTTCTTTTTAGATGTGTAACTGTAAGATTTCAATCTTAGTACGGAGAGTACCACACCAAACGATCGAGATTCACCGATCCAACATCCAAAATCATAGGTCATGGATCATGGTTAATATGACTGAAAAAAAAATCACTTTACATCGCTCGAAGCATCGTCCATACTGAAATTTAATGTGCTTACCTCGCACTAGAAATTAGGTACCATTTCAACCCTAAAGATATAATTTCAATACTTCCTTTAATCTCAAAATATTTTTTAAAGTTTACACCATTTTTTAAGGCTACGCACCCACTGGTGTTTTTTTTTTAGGTTTGTTTTTGTAGCCGTACTCCTATCATTTATCACGTGTTCAAGTGCACGCGCCACTGTAAGGATTCTCATGAACGGTAACAGGAAAAAAACAACAATGACAGAAAGTCATCAGTGTGATAGTAGCTTAATGACCTCCTGTGCAAATTTAATTCTAATTCGAAGATATTTTTTGATTTAGTTGCCGGTGTCTTGTTAATTTTTATACATTAATTATGATTTTATTATGTCTTCTATTAACAAAAACTGTGTCAAAAAAAATTTTTTAATGGCATTTGATATGTCATAACTACGTTAATAGTATCAACACTTATAATCGTTTCTGGGAGAGGAATCTTAACTTGCTTTAATAGGTTAAAAAGTGAAACCAAGAGTGCTAAATACAATGTAAATTTATGCAATCGCAATGGTAATGTTAATAAAATAATTACACTGTATACGTATTCGGTTAATTGAGTGTAAAATTCAAATCAACGCTTAATCTTCAAAGCGATTTTAGCATAAACGATGTCATTCATTTGGAACTGAGGCATATTACGAAGCTCGGCTATAGAAATATTTAAAAAAAAATACTAGACAATAGAAGCAATATGATCGTTGTTCTTTATGGTGCATTAAATGAGAACCTTTATTGTGTAATTGTGGAGGTTAAGTAATTTTATGCAGGGTCAGTCATGGGATGGGTAACCAAAAATATATCGAGCTCTTTAAGCCATTGATCTCCGGTGGATTGGCAGTCGTTAATATCTATCAATACATACTATGTAATCTATAATAATATTATAAAGAGGAGATTTCATTGTTTGTTTGGATTCAATAGACTCTGAGACTTTTGAACTGATTTTTAAATGGTTTCGCTTATGGGAAGCTACATCGTAGGCGGATGACATAGGCTATAATTTATGCGGACGAAGTTGAAAACATTTTGACCTATATAAAAGGAAAAGTCATTAGTTCCGATCTGAAAAAAAAACAGTCTAGCTCTACAATATTAAGGACTGTTTGTCCTTAATATTTCATGAAGGTAATGTAGAATTAAGAGTACATGGCAATAGGACAAAAACAAATCAGTCGATATCGACGGGCCATAAGACAAATAATGGTGTTTTTACAGCAGTCTTTTTTGTTTAAAGTTTTTTTGTTTCTTCATATTCTTAATACCACACTACTAAAAATTCAATTAAAAGATTATAATGTAGAATTTGTGATCA